ACTGGGGTGGCAGTGGGTGGGGGTGGGGGAGGGCACTGGTGGGGGGGTGAGAGCCCAGGGCTGGGGTGGGGGGCAGCCAAAATTTTTTTTGCGTGGTGCGGCAAAAAACCTAGAACCGGCCCTGCCTGGACCATATATGCCCACGGCTGGAGAATAAGGACCAGGCTTTGGGCCTGCACAGCCCATGCTGCCAGTGTGTTCATTAGCAGCATTGCAGTAGTGTGTCAGGACTCCCATCTGGGCCCCATCATGCTTGGCACTGTACAGACAGACACAAAGACAGTCCCACCCGAGAGAGCTCGTGCTCCAGGGTTTAGACACCATGCAGCAGGTGAATAACCTGACAGACAGGAGTGAGGGAACAGGCCGGGATCCGGGGGAACTGGAAATGTCAGGGCCAGCATCAGTGTCCACCCTCATGAGATTAAATTTAGTCCTTCTCCTGACAGAGCCAGCCCTGAAAATGCAAACCCATCACCAGGGGTGAAAGCTTGTCACATATTAGCCCTCAAGACAGGCAGCAAAGTCCAGTGCACAGGGGCACTGGCCTGGGACTCAGGATACCTGGGTTCTATTCCCAGCTCTGCCACTGACCTCCTGAATGAGCTTGGGGAAATCACTTACCTGCTCCGTGCCTCAGTTTCCCCTCCCATCCTTTGTCTGGGTTGTCTATTTAGGCTATCAGTTCTTTGGGACAAGAAATGTGTGTGTGCAGCACCTAGGGCAATGAGGCCTGATCTTGGCTGGGGGCTCTCGGCTCTGCAGTTACTAATAATAAAGATCACAGGTTATCCCGACTCCTGCAAAGCCACCCAGATCTGGCCTTTGGGGCCCCATGGAACAAGGTTGGTCCATTTGGGAGGACCCCAAGCAGATTCTCAGCTCAACGGCAGTGCCACCCAACGTGGCACTGATAACACGGACAGCTGCTGCAAGCGCCCGCCTGTACAGGAGGAGGCTCTGCGGCTTAGCAGCCAGCATGTCCCCAGGCCACAAGACGGGGAAGCTCAGTTAGCACGAGCAGCAACTTGGTTTAGTGGAGTAACTGCAAGACTGAGAGCAAGTGATCCCTGCAGGTTAGTCCTAGTTCTGATCCCAACTCCCTCTGTGCTGGTAGCCACGTCCCGGCCCCTTCTGCCTTCGTTTCCCCATCGGGCTAACGATACTTGCCTCCCTCATCAGCGTGGGTGTCACGGCGATGAATGAAGGCTGCGGAGTGCTAGCTGGGGGCTCCAATTCCCCACAGTGCACACAAAAGCCTTCATAGGATGGGGCCTGGTGCACTGGGACACCTGGCCCTTGCAAATCGGACAGGCCGGTATTTATTGTGCAAAACTTTCCTGGGGGTAGAAAATTTCAAAAGCAAAGCAGGTTTGGTTTTGCAACATTTCTCTTTTGTTTCCAATGAAAACTGAAAGCTTTTCTGTTACAGTTTTTCCTTTCGCTCCCCTCTCCCCTCCACCACCACCTTTTTCACTGGCATGGTAAAAGGGGGGTGGGGGGGGGGCAAAGGGAGGGGGAAAAGAGGAAAAACTAAAGGTTTTCAGTACAAAAAATCCAACAAACAGCTCTTTTTTAAAACATTTTTTGAAAATTCCTTCCCTTCACCCTGCCCCCTTTTTTTCCAGCCAACTCTACTCACGAAGCTTTCCTACATGTTGGCAACCATACCAGACCTCAGCACCAACAGTGGCGCTCCCCTTCTGCAGCACGACCCAGGGGGTTGGGCACATATTTCATAGAATCACAGAGCCACAGAAATGTAGGGCTGGAAGTGACCTCAAGAGGTCATCGAGTCCAGCCCTCTGTGCCGAGGCAGGACCAAGTAAACCTAAAGCGTCACTAACAGGTGTTTGTCCAGTCTGTTCTTAACAACCTCCAGTGATGGGGATTCCACAACCTCCCTTGGAAGCCTGTTCCAGAGCTTAACTACCCGTATAGTCAGCAAGTTTTTCCTAATATCTAACCTAAATCTCCTTTGCTGTAGATTAAATCCATTAATTCTTGTCCTACCTTCAGTGGATCTGGAGAACAATTGATCACCATCCGCTTTATAACAGCCCTTAATATATTGGAAGACTATTATCAAGTCCCCCCTCAGTTTTCTTTTCTCTAAAGTTTTTTTAACCTTTCCTCATAGGTCAGGTTTTCAAAACCTTTTAACATTTTTGTTGCTCTCCTCTGGACTCTCTCCAGTTTGTCCACATCTTTCCTAAAGTGTGGCACCCAGAGACCTCACCAGTGCTGAGTAGAAAAGGACAATTACCTCCTAAGTCTGACATACTGCATCTCTGTTAATACACCCCAGAATGACATTAGCCTTTTTTGCAACTGCATCATATTGTTGACTTATATTCAGTTGTGATCCACTGTAACCCCCAGATCCTTTTCTGCAGTACTACCGCCTAGCAAGTTATTACCCATTTTGTAGTTGTGCATTTGATTTTTCCTTCCTAAGTGAGGTACTTTATACTTGTCTTTATTGAATTTCATCTTGTTGAATTCAGACCAATTCTTCAATTTGTCCAGGTCCTTTTGAATTTGAATCCTGCCCTCCAAAGTGCTTGCAGCCCCTCCCAGTTTGGTGGCATCTGCAAATTTTATAGATTTCTCAAACACACACACACACACACACAGAGGTTCAGGTAATTTGGGGTGCTCCAGAGAATCTTCTCACTCCCCTTAATTCTTGGCGTGGCCAGAATGGACAGGCGTTGGTTATGTTTGGGGTAGGAAAAATTGTTTTGCAAGCCCACTCAGAAACACCAAGGCTGGCTATAATCATGGTGCCCATGTGCCAGCGCTCAGCCCACATCATAGCACGTATATGCCAAGAAGTATGGTATCCGCTAAGAGCCATTAGAGGGTAGGAGATAGAGCATTCAGGGCTTGGAGAAGCACGTCTAGAAGGGGAAGTATGATATTTCAGATGCTAACGAACATAGAGGAAGTGGGTTCAAAATAGGACATGGCTTCCTCTGACAAACCGCAACTGACTAGGTAGTGGAAAGCACCAGACAGTTACAGCTCAGCGTGTGGAAGGGAAAACCGCCCTTACCCAGAATGCCCTGTTCTGTCTCATGTGCTCTTTTCCTCTGTACCCCCACAACCTAGCCTCCTCATTTAGGCCCCAATTCTGCAACTGGCTGTGCATGGGCAGATCTGTGAGCCCCCACTGACTTCTGTGGGGTTCTGTGCAAAGCCACTTGCAGAATAGGCACCTGCACTTGCAGCACCACAGGGGAAAAGGGGACCCCAAAGCAGGGAAGCAGCAGTCAGAGAGCCCTCCCAGCACCCCTTCAATGATTGTGAGATTAGCAATGGGGCAGCCACTAGGCACTGATTTAGCAGTGGAGTTGGTACCATGGCCTCTACCGAGTGACCTGTTTAAACATAGCCCAATGCCTAGAGTCTACAATGAGCCCCATGGGGGCTTTCCCCAGGCTTTCCCCATTTCGGAGGGAGATCCCAGGTAGTAAATGGTGTTTCCCCCCAGCCATTATTAAGTCCGTTCTGGGTCACCAGTGTGCACTGACCTAATGCACCCCAAACCAACTCTCCCACCTGGATGTGAAACTCTCAAGACTCTGCTGGGTGAAGGGGGAAGAACAGTCCAGGCGCCAGTACCAGCACACAGAAAGAAGGGCCACACACACAGAGGGGGGCTGAGGAATCGTCACCAGAGCGTGTGTGAATGGATTTGGTGCTCCAGCAAGCGAGAGACTGACTGCACTGAGACAGACATGGGGTGTGCAGGCACCATGCATGCACCCACATGCAGCTCCACTGCACCCCTCCTGCTATTCCAGCCCTGGGCCCCACACACTCAAACTCGGCTACATGGCACCTCTGTGCCCTTTACTGGGCTAACCCTGGGTTCTCCCCACCCCTCAGCCAGGGCACTGCATCTTGTTCTCAAAAACCCGTGGCCACTCCAGGCCCAGGCAGTCCTTCCTGGGCAGACACTGCCTAAACCAGATGTGGTTTTGTGAGGTGTACAAACAGTGTGAGACGGGAGGAGGCAGCTAGTCTGAAACCACACAAACTCATTCCACTTGTGAGCAAAGATCAGCAGTTTGAATCAGGCCTCTGAGGGTGAAAGAGCAGCGCACTCAACCCCGCCATGCCCCACACATGTTTTAACCCCAGCAGCTGTCACCTATGTGCAGCATTGCACCCCTAGTGTAGCTGGATTTAAAGGAGGGTGAACTGCCCCGCTGAGGCTATGCTTAGGTGAGGCTGACGGTTCCTGTCAAATATCACTCCTCTGCCCAACCCTGTGCGAACAGCCAGGATAAACCCCTGTCTCTCTACAGGGCTTTCCCCTGAGCCTGAAGCTGGTTCAGTCCCAGTTAATAGAGCCCTCCGCCCAACCAGAGTGAGGTGTCCCTGTCTCTCTGCACAGTGGAATAGACATGATGTCGGAGACGCACTGAATGGGACAGTTGTTCTTAACCCCCTGCAGCATGACCTTTCTTCAGTATAATGAGTCCCTGGGTCCTTATTCCTCCCCACAGGCATTAGATTCCTCCTGTCCCCTACACGCCCACCAAGGAGGCCTGTTACTGTAATGAACCCCTCCATCCCCACCTCCAAACACACCTGCTCTTTTGCCTTGGATATCCAAGTGTCCAGCAGCAGCTCCAGCCTGGTCTGGTGGAACATCTTGGTTGTCTTCACAGCAATGAAAACCTCTCCAAGCTCCAGGCCTCTCCGCACACTGGAGCCCACCTTGGAAGGGCCTGGTGGCTCTTTCAGCTCCTGTCTCCTGCTGCTGTCTCTCAGCACATCCGCTGGGGACATTTTAGCCTGGTGCTCCAGGATATCCGATGTCCCATCACCAACCCCTTGGTAGCGGACCAACTCTTGAGTGCCACGGTGCCTCATGGAGAGGAAAGCCATGGTGACAAGGAGTAGAGCAGCTCCAGAGAGACAGCGGAGGAGATGCCGACGCATCACTGCCAACTTCCAACGCCACGGCAAGAAGCCCAGCAGGCAGAGGGAGCTTCTTCCTCCACACCCCAGGGTCTGTGAGCCCCATGCTGGCCTCATGCCTCCCAAAGGGGAGGACAGACAAGCTGAGGCCCAACTAGGACATGGCCATAAAAAGTGATGGGAGGGGAGCAGAAAGTGGCAGTGAAATTCTTAGAGAGCCAAACACCAAGGCTGAGAGGGACAATTGTCCCTGGGAATGGGGGCAGCCTCCAGGAAAGAGACACAGGGACGAGGAAGACCTGATTTTCCAGCTGGCAGGACAGGTGACAGGCAGACACCTGAAGGCCAGCAAATTACACAGCCAGAGCTGAACTAACCCAGACCCCAGGCTCTTAGCTGCGAGGCTGAGGGTCCTGGGCGGGAGCCTGGTCAGGGTGAAAGGTCAAGGGTCCAGGAGGAGAGTCCATTCCACGCAAGGGGTTGAGGGTCCCAGGTTTCCAGGAGGTGTGATGGGGGAATATCCAGGGGAGTGACTCTGGTTTCCGGTTTGCTGGAGGCAAAGATGCTGACCCAGCATCAAAGGATGCATCAGGACAGGTCCCAGGCTAGAGGCTGATGCAGGCAAGAGGCTGGGGATAGCCAGGTCCGGGGAACGAGCAAGCGAGCTGCCTTCCACCTGCTCTGTCTGTTCAGCTCTCACTGACTCCCTCTAGCTACAGGCACCAGGCTCCGCCCACCCCTTCCTTGGGCACAGGGTAGGCGGGGCCCTTCAGCCTGTGGGGAATCCTGGCTAGCTGTCGCCTCTGCTCACAGCTGCTGCCCTGTGGGCTGCTCCTTGTGTCAGGCCAGGAGAAAGAGCTCATCCTCATGCTAGCTGGGGGCTCCGATTCCCCAGAGAAGACTTCATAGGATGGGGCCTGAAGGAGGAAGTGTCCAGGGACCCGACTCTCATGTCATCAACCTGAGGGGAACATGCTTCTGCCCCCACCCCCAACTCTCAGGGAGCCTCTCAAAAGTGAGCCAGGCTGGTCGGGGGGGGGGGGGAGTTCACCCCACACTGTGGCCGCTTCGCAGTGGCATTGGGGGTCCCAGCAGGCACAAAGCCAGCATAACACCCCTGCAAAAGGCGACGTGCTGGCAGGGCTGGGGGACGGCTGAGAAGGGGAGGCAGCATGGCCAGGAGTTCTAATGCCCTTGGAACTTAGACTGACCCAGAGGAGCCACTGCAGATGGCGTGCCACTGGAGAATCAGGGGGCACATTGCCTCCCCAGTCAGTCTCTGTGCCAGACTCAGCACCAATGCAGAGAGGAATTCCGCACTAAGGGGCTTTCCCAACCCCCCTTCCCAGCTGCCAGGGCAGCTCCAGGTCCAGTCTCGGGTTCTGTAGGGCCCTATGCAAAGTGACACAAAGTAGCTAGAACGCCAGCTTAACTGGCTCACTGCCACTCCTTGCCCTGTTGCAATGGGGATGGATAAGGCATCCCTACACTCCAGCGATCCCCAGCTGTTGGACCTGCCCCTTGGGCCCATGGATAGTTGGGCATAATTTAAAGCAGCCCCAAGGTTTACAGCCATTTGCGCTCTCCCGTTTCACATATCTCAGCTGCAGCTGGGGATCTAGCCCTTAGCTTAGATATGTTGCTCACCATGCCATCTAACCCTGCTCAGAGCAGATCGCCTCCACATAGTGCTTAGGCCGATGGTCAGCCATGTACATTACAGCTGCTAATGTTAATTCCTGTGGTGCTGAGCCAGTGTGAGCAATGGTAGGGAAGTTTTGCAAACCACCCCTAGGGAAGGCTAAAGCTAGTGAAGGACTTGGAAATCCACCCCCAACCCGACTGCACGCGCACTCAGATGCACACTCCAGCAGATCCCCTCCCCTGAGGGCAGGTAGAACGGTTTTTCTAAATGACTCTTTACATTAGGATTGTACAAGGCTTTTACGGCTGGTAATTGGTGCCCATGGCTGCTAATGGCATGCCACCTGTTCCTTAACCCATGACTCATTCCTCTACAGCAGGCAGCGTTACCTCCCAGGGCAGGGAATTCGGGCACCCCCCAGGGAGGAGTGATACAGTGCAAGGTGGAACTGAAGCCAGGGAACATTACTGGGTTAATGTTTACCTTGGATTCCTCTCTTCCCCTCCATCACATCTGGAACCAACTGGAGCTGGGCTTGTGGAATGGATCAGCGTAGGCCAATGTGACCTCTGAAACAAACCAGGAGGGAATGGAATGACTCCTGGAAGAAGCCTGGGAGAGAGGGGCAGTGCTGTCTAGTGGTTAGAGCAGTGTGGTGGTGGGTGGGGGGGGGGTCAGGATCTCCAGTGTGCTATTCTGAGCTCTGCCAGACTTGCTTTGTGACCTTATAGAAGTCATCCTTGCCTCCGTTTCCCTGTCTTTAAAATGGGGATAACGCCTACATCTATGGGGTCCTTTCTCATCCACAGCTGCTGCCATATGTCCAGGTGACAGCAGTGGCCCCGATGACAGTTTATGTTCTGCACCTAACAAGAACATCCCCAAAGATCTAGTGTTTCCCTAGCTCTCGTAGAAGGCTCCCTGATGGCTGTATTTGTAGAACCCTTTGAACAGCAGCACGTTCTGTCACGGAGTGGTGGGGGCACAGCCATGGCATTCAGAGGTGCACCGTTCTAGTTAGCCAGCCTGGGGATTACTGCAGTGCACGCTCCATGGTGCCTTGCCTTGACACTCCTCAGGAGCCCCAGCAGGGGCAGAAGATCCTGAATCAGTGTCAGGGATTTCCCTACATCCCGTACCCCCCACACTCCCCGATCTGCCCCCCAATAGTCAACTAGTTATAGGCAGTGTTGCCAATTTAGTCATTTTCCACCCCATCCCCCTGTAAATTCCAACACCTCCTCTAATTTCAATTCCTGGGGAAAACAGTGTGTGGCTCACAGACAGCCCCATGGTGCCAATGCTCCAGGCAGGGCCGGCTCCAGGCACCAGCCCAGCAAGCAGGTGCTTGGGGCAGCCAACGCAGAGGAGCGGCACATCCGGCTCTTTGGCAGCAATTAGGCGGTGGGTCCCTCACTCCCTCTTGGAGTGAAGGACCAGCCGCCGAATTGCCGCCGAAGACTGAAGTGGGGGCGGTAGAGCAGCCACAGATTGCGATCGCGGCTTTTTTTTCTTTTTTTCTTTTTGCTGCTTGGGGCGGCAAAAACCCTAGAGCCGGCCCTGGCACCAGGAGCTGCACTGGCTGCCTGTTAGCACTTGGGTGCAGTGGAAGGTGTCAGTTTTGACCTCTAAAGCCCTCAGCAGGCTGGGTCCTGTGGTTCTGTCACAACTGCACTCAATGGCGGCACTGGAGCGACCGTCTCCCTTGCTTCTGTGGGAGGGGGTTGCTAGCAGGGCAGTCTCCAGGAGGAGTCACCCTTGGGCTGGTCCAACAGAGGTCACTTTGCAAGAGGCACGCTGGGGGCAGCAGTGGCGTCCCTGGGATGGGTGGGGTGAGGGTTCTGAGGGGAGTAGAGGGGGCACGCATCTGGACGAGGGTGATGTCTCTGGCTAATGCTTGGGCTACATCCTGTACTGTTGTAGGGCCGCTCCGGGAGATTGCTCTAGATTTTTGTGGCTGTATGTAAAGATGCAGGCACTGATATAAGAACAAATTACCTCATCCCAGGGGAGCCGTGAGGATCAGCGGGTTCATCTTTGCCCAGAGCTGGAAAACCACAAAGCACTAGCTCAGGGCTAAGCGTCGTTATGGGGACACAAAGGGGACTTTGGCATTGTCTAGCCCATCCTCTGCCTGGGCCCATTTCCCACATCCTGCGAAAGCAACAAGCATTCTGCCTCTGCCGATCTCTGCCTCTCCCAGCCCACACTGTCCCAGTCCTGGGGACATGCAGACCTGCATCCAGGGCTGTCCTCCCTTCATGCTGCTCCCCATCACCCCTAGCATGGGGCTGTGCAGGGGGGCCCCAGGACTGCCTGGCCCACACTTTTCTCCAGCTTTGTGTCTGCCTGCACATACCAGCTCCAGTGCTGTCCATCCTCCTTTTCAACCTCTGCAGGTCCCCCAGCACACCCCAAGCATCCAGCTTCTCCCAAGTGCTGAAGGACTCCGCAGCTCGGCCAGCAATTGCTCTGCAAAGCAGCCCTGGCACCGATGGGGGGAGGGCTCTCCAAGCTAACCGCACGCCTGAGAGTGCTATCACTCCCAGAGGGGTGCTTCTAACGCCAGGCACGCTCCCAGGAGTGTGCTGCACAGACACCGCCTCCTGACCCCCTCCACTCCACTCCTCTCCTTCCTTCCCTTCATGTCTGTCTCTTCCCCACTCTGCTTCTCTGTTCTCCCTTTTCCCTCAGCATGTGAGAGGAGGGGGCAGGATGGGGGGGAGGGGCTGGATTGCCAGCTCCAGAGTCAGAGCGGTGGGGTGAGCACAGCCTCTGTTCGAAGGGTGAGGCAAGCCCCAGCCTTCCAGCAGCCCCACTGGCTCTCCCCTCTCCTATTGTTCCCCTGGAGAAGGACCCAGATGGTGGAGGCCCCAGACTCCCGGAGGTAACCGGAGCTACAGGGACGAAGGCTCTGGGAGAACCAGGCAAGAGCCCTCAATGTTCCCAGAGAGGGACCAGCTGCCTGAGTCTGTGCTGGAGAGAGAGCATTTTAGGAGACATATGAGGTAGGGATAGGAGAGAAATCCCCCAGCACTCCAGGCCAGCTGTTAATGCAAGCAGCAGCCCCTCCTCCATTCCCATTATAAATGGTATTTAATTCTCTTTTATATACAGGTTTCCAATTAAAAGGGTCCATTAATAATTTATACACCATAAAGATTACAATTGCCACCCACTGAGGATGCCTGACAAACCCCGCGTAGTGTCACTCTGCCTGTGGCGGGGCATGTGTACCACCGCCGCTTCCATCGGGACATCAGCTGAGGTAGACAGGATGCCAGAGAGAGCCGTGATGGGGAAGGGGAGAAGGAGACAGGGTGGCAGGGGAATGGAGCAATCAGAAGGCAGTCAGTCAGTCAGTCAGTCAGTCACACACACACACACACACACACACCTCTGTTCCCCTCTTGTCTGATTCTCCAAATGACTGGGCCATACAGAGGGTCGGGTGCCAAGAGCACTCCTGGAGGAGCAGCAGCCGCAAGCTGTGAGGGGATTCTTGGTGGGAAGGGGAAGGAAATGCCTCCACTAAACCTGGACATGAGGGGAAAGGAGTCCGAGTCTACATGTTACCCCCACCCTGGCCAGTCTCCAAGCAGCCTGAAGTGGGCCCAATTCCCTGACACATGAGGGGTCACCTTGTCCTTCCAGACCTCCACTGATGGCAAGACATCCCACTGCATCCAATCAGGGAGAAGTGGCACACTGTTTCGGAAACAGTTTGGGGATGAAGGAAAGAAGCCAAGTGTGCTCCAGGCACCACCCTTGGGAAAGGAACCTAGCGCCTCACTCCTCCACATGGAGCCTCCCGACATGAAGACACGGCCCCAGCTCTGCCGGGTGTGGGATCACAGCTCGCCATCCTCAACCCACACGACCTTGTTCTGCTCCTGGAAGATGTAGCGCCGCACTACTTTCACCAGCTCCTCAGCGTGGCACCAGGACTGGGCATCCACACAGGCCCACGAGCAGGGCAGGGCGTGGAGAGCCTGCTCAGCGCTCTGGCAAAGCTTCACCACATCAGAGTCACGCTGGCCTGGCTTCCGCAGTAAGCTCCTGACAGAGAAAGGGAAACAGCCATAAACATCACCCACCCAGAGAGCTATGGTACCTCAGTGTACCACAGCCAGCGCTCCCGCCCCTTCCCTCCAGTGACTCACTCCCACCCAGGCAGCACTCCCACCAGTGGCGGAATACTCTGGCCCCGCCCCCTGCTCCTCCTCTCCCTGCCCCTCCTCTCCCCTTGGGGCCCCCACCATCTGCTCCTCCTCTGCCCACTTCACCTCTTCCCCCAAGGGCCCCAACCACCCGCCACTCACCCCTCTCCACCCCTGCGTCCGGGATGCCCCCGCCCACCATTTGAGGAGCAAGCAGCAGGCAGGGATGCCTTGAGGGAAGGGGCAGAGAGGCATGAATGGCGGACAGAGGGATGTCAGGGGAGCAGACTGACTGACCGAGCAGGAGTGGGGCCTGAGATGGAGTGGGAGTGGAGCATGGGCAGGGTCTCAGGGGGAGAAGGTTCAGTTGGCAGGGGGGGCTTCAGGGCAGAGCCACAGTCTGGGCACTGGTGGCCTAGGGTTGCCAATTCTCCCAGTTTTGCCGGGAGTCTTCCAGAATCAGGCTCTATCTCCTGGAGACTACTGAAGCCAATCCGGGAGATTTTAGGCTGCTAAAAGGCCGGTGGCGCAGCGGGGCTAAGGCAGGCTCCCTACCTGCCCTGACCCCACTCCACTCCCAGAAGCAGCCGTCATGTCCCTGTGGCCCCTGGGCGGGGGGCAAGAGGTCTCTGTGCGCTGCCCCCGCCCCCAGCACTGACTCTGCAGCTCCCATTGGCCGGGAACTGCAGCCAATGGGAGCTGCGGGGCAGTGCATGGAGCCCCCCAAAAGCGCTGACTTCCCCTCTGCCCTGTGGGTGCCCCGCCCCCTGCTTCTCCTCTTCCCCCTGAGGCCTGCCCCCTGGCCAGAAACCAAATCCCAGTGAGCATATTGCCCCCCACCCCCAGCGGGCTGAGTCACTGGCCCGAGCCCCTCTTCTCCCCTTCCCATGTGCAGAGCTGGCCCGAGCCCTGCCACTCCTCCTTCCCCTGAGCCCCTTTTTGGCAAAACTGGGCATTTGTCTCATTTGCAGTTGGCAAGAGCAAACGGGACAAATGCCCAGTTTTGCCAAAAAGTCAGGATGTTTGGGGCAGGTCTTAAAAAGAGGACTGTCCTGGCCAAAATGGGATGTATGGTTACCCAAGGCTGTAGTAAGAGCCACCCAGGGAGTCAGGCAGCTGTGTGGAGCCCCAGACCCCCCACCCACCCTGGGCGGGATGCCCGAAAGCAGCCCCTGGCCCGTGTCCCTGCCCTTCTGGGCATGCTACCCAGGGCAGGTGGAGGATCCAGGGCTCCCCACAATGGCTCAGCTTCTGGCCAGGCAAGGGGGTGGGACTTGGAGGAAGGGGAGGAGCAGGGGGCGGGGCCCCATGGTGTGGGGGGGGAAAGGTTCTTTGTGCCCAGGGCCCCAATAAAACTTAATCTGCCTCTGGCTCCTGCCCCCTCCCCTCCAGAGACTCCCCTGCCCCCCAGGCAACACGCCCACCCCCTTCCCTTTGCTCTCTCTTTGAGCATGGGCCAGAGTCACTCTTTTTCCATGGTATGACCTCTGCTAGTCCTCTGAAGGACTTTTCGTACCTGAGTCCCCTGACGTTCTTCTCGGTGACCTCCACGTGGATAATGATGGGGTATATTTCACTTTTAATTAGATCCCTCACCCTCTGGAGGCCCAGCTCCAGCAGGCAGTGTTTATTCTGCAAGGAAATTGCATAGATTTACTGATTTAAATGGAAAAGAAATAACCCAAAGTCCCTGACAGTTACATTAAATCAAGCCCCATACTGTGAGATATCATTGCTTTTCCAGTAGTAATTCCATTACATGTGGATTTACAGTTAGACCCAAGAGGGAATCAGAGAATTAAAGAGCAGGGTCATTTGATACATAAGAGGCTGTGTGTCCAGCCTGGCCAGGGGGCCCTCCTAGCTCCTCCCTCCCCTCATGCATATGCAGCGTGCATCTCCAGGCCTTCCAGGGCTTCCTCCACAAAGCCCATGTCTTCCTCATTCCGCCCCCTCTTGGAGAAGGTGAGAAAGGTGCTGGGATGGAGCCAACCCCACTGATTAATTAGTGCTTAACATAATTAGCATTAACATCTGTTGCTCCCCCTTTGAACGGGGCTTGATGTGGACTCCATAAAGGGACCAGACCCGACGCTTGATGGAGCCCCGGAGTCTGATGGAGGAAGCTAGTGGCTGGAGAACTCCTTTGAAGGTTCCCAGCATCCAAGTCATTGACTCCTTTCCTTCCCCCTACTCTCCTCTCCATTCAGTGGTCTCTTCCCTTCCTCCTTCTCCCCCATTCAATAATCCCATCCTCTTCCTAGTGTCCGGTAGGACCTCCCGTCCCTGCCCCATCCCCACTACCACCCAGCAGACAGTGTCCAGAAGCTGCTGCTCTCCGCTCAACACCTTGCCAATGCACTCCCGGATGGTGCGGATCCTCCTGCTCTCCCTCTGGTCCTGGAGGGAACCTGGAGCCACGCAGTTCTCCTGGGAAGGGGTAGCAGCTGGCTCGTCATTAGCCAGGGTCTCTGCAGAGGGAGGCAGAGCGGGTTGGCTGTGACAGATTTGGCAATTTTGTGCAGTATCCTAGACAAGCCTTACTGAAATACGTTAAACCTCATTGAATTAGGTTTCAGTATCCTAGGCGTTCATTGTGTTAAAAATGCAGCTGTTTACCAGTTATTGTGGGGTTGTATTTAATGCCTTTAGGACACAGGACTCATGTAAGCCCTGGGAAGTGTTATGAGCATCACAAGACTCCTTGAAACAATATGCCAGACAAACCAAGTGGGATCCCTGGAAAATACTTGGGAGGAGGGGAGGGCAACTTCTCACCTCCAAATCCAGCCTTTTAAAGCTGGGTCCTGAGAAGAAAGCCACTGTGGGCTGATCACCTGTTACGCGAGGACAAGATCAGAGGCCCAAACTGGATACGAGAGTGACTCACAGATTCATTGGGGGGGACGGGGGACGCTTGTTCTGAACTAACAGCTGTTATGAACTTGTGAACACAGGGGAAAAACCCTTGGTGGGATCTGAAAGGCTGCTCACCAGCCAGAGCCCTTGTCAGCTTATTAGCAGGCACGTCGGTTCTTTTCTTGTTTTTAATGTTTTTTCTGTAATGCTCTTACTTTAAGAATAAGTGTGCTTGCTTAGGAAGAGCTGTGTGGTAACTTAACTGTGGGTAATCACACTGTGTATAGCTTCTGAGGAAGGAAGGCAAAGCTGGCTTGCTGACGCACTCTGCCTTGCTGGGGATATCACAGTGTAGGCAGGGAGTTGTGCAGCCTGGAAAAACCCTGGTCAGAAGGGAGAGAGCTGCGGGTCTCTGCCCAAGAGAGGTGACAGCAGAGGAGCCAGGAGCCTGGGAGTGGGTGGACCACAAGGGGGAATACAGGCACAGTTGCCTGAATTGTGGCATTGGCTATGTGGAGGGACGATGCCCATTAGACCCACCTTCACCCTGGGCAGGGCTTTCATAGGCGCCCCAACGCCACAGTGTGGTGTGAGAGTGGGGTCAAAGGGGTGCAGGACAGGGCACTCACAGGATGGCACACAAGCTGCACAAGTCACACGGCTCGTGAGTGGAGCTTGGCAGAACATTTTCTTTCAAAAGGTTCCTTTGCAATCGAAAATGGAGATTTTAACCCTTCCTCCCCCCCCCCCCCAATTTTTTTTAATTTTCCAGTTTGGACATTTCTGAAGGGAAACACCAACAAAAAAGGGGTGGCGGTGCTGGGGAATTAGTTCCCATAGAAATTTCTTGCGGGAAAAGAAATTGCTTCCCAATCAGCCGTCTAATCAGTAAAACAACAAAAACGAGAGGGAG